CTTCCCATCATCCAACCTTCGGCCTTTCTCCAATCTCTCTCTCTCTCTCTCTCTCTCTCTCTCTCTCTCTCTCTCTCTCTCTCTCTCTCTCTCTCTCTCTCTCATCGTTGTCTTCTTGCAGGTACGCACGGTGACGATCTCCTTCGCAGTGCAACAATGGCGGATTTCGTCTTCAGCGGTGGCGCACTTCAGCTACGGCGCCCTACCTGGCGCGTGTCTCCTACCTGCGGCAACGGCGATGGCGCATGGAATAGCGGTTACCAGCTCCAATACCAATGCAATCAGACTCGCTTTCTTTCACACTTCACATGCATGCAAACATGTGGCACATCAAACTGGTGACAAGCGCCCACTAAAAACTCAGAGATATGGCAACCAAGAACACAGTTCAGATACAAGCTCACTTCAGCTGGCTATGGCGCATCAGCGCCTTTACAACTCCCTCTGTTCGTCACTGTGCCCAACTCTACTGTTCACACACACTCAACTCAGGATCACCTTGGATATCCCACACACGACACACGCTCTTACACACACGCACACACTACTCCCATCTAACAGCTATGGCGCTATGGCTGCTACTACCTCTACCACTACGGCTAAACTCTCCTTCGGCCCACTTCGTCTTCAGGCATACTCCAGACCACCTCGCACAAGTCACTGTGGCAGCACTTCCTCATGGCTTACGCAGGAATGAATCAACAGCTGGTCGCTGCCTCTTGATTTATACTTTTGTAGCTCGTTGGTCTGGCTCTTTCCCATGCCCTGGGTGCACACAGTCCCACACGGTACTTGCTTGACTGGACCTGACTGACTGGGACTGATACCGCTGACTGCATGGGGACGCATTGCCAACTCACCGCAGTCGCACTGTCGACGTACTGCAGTTGGCCTCACCACTTGCCCACTTGCCTCTGTCTAAACGTGAGCAAGCTTCGAAAGGCCACTTCCGGACCTTATGGAAGTTCGTAGACTTGGCCTTTCGGTACCGTAGCAGCTACAACCTTGACCCTTCGGAGGAGCTACAGCTACGACTCCTAGGACCTGCTAAGACCTACAAACGACAGGTCTCCAGATCGAACCCCTACAACCCACGGACCTACGACAGCCTACCAACTACTGCGAATACACAGGTCACGGGTTCAACTCTCGGGGTCGGCACAGATACTGTACACAGGTAAAGTGAGAACTAGGGATCGAGCCCTGGGATCTGCATCCGCTACTGCTAACAGGGGAATACCGTTTCACGGGTCTTTGTTTGTGAAAAAAAAAAGGAAAAAAAAAACTGCATTTGCCGCATGGCGCACCGCAACGGTGCGCCACAAGTATGCATTGAAACGATATTGACCCGCGCATCAAGATATTGGTCGCCTTATTACTTCAAATTTTGTGAGCTACGCATTCAAGACCCACACGATATGAACACACACAGAACTTAACTAGCACTCGAAATGATACACACAGGTTTATCAAGGTCCGTGGCTATGGCCGTCATCGACAACGACGAACAGGTCTCTCTCTCTCTCTCGCGCGCGCGCGCGCGCTCGCACGCACACACGCGCGCCTATGCACGCACATACACATAGGTTGCACAATCACTCTCTCAATGTCCTCGCCCACTCCTCTCTCTCTCAGGTATCCTGCCTTTGGCTATAGTGCCTTGCGCCATCTACTTGCTGGCAATGCATTTGCGAGGATCAGGGTCCTCGGTAGGCTTATGGGGCCCTGCTTGCAGCATTACCCGCCCTAAGTGAAGGCGGAGGTGCCCGCCCTAAGTGAAGGCGGGCCTGGCTTTCTGCAAGAGGCCCTCGACTGTCAATTTCACATTTGGGGTCCAGGCAGTTGCGACGCGCCAGTTGGTTGAGAGAAACACGGGCCGAGCAACAAAGACATTCCAGGGCCCTCCGGGCCTTTCCAAAGAATGCAGGCCCTGGGCGTGATTCACAGCCTCATACAGAGACAGCTGGGCGCCCAACCGAACGAGGCCCAGCAGCCCAGTAGCTGCTGTACACAGGCAGCCTCCTGGGGCCTTCCGGAAGCTGCTGGGCCTAGGCCAGTGCAGCCAGGCTGCACAAGCAGGCCAACTCTTTCCATAAAGGAAAGAGCTCTGCCCTGGCTGCGTCATTCAAGCACTCGCATGTTGGCGGCAGCACTGTTGGAGCAAAGGCTCGCGGCTGCTGGCTGGCGCTGAGAGGCGAGGTGCAGCACGTGCGATCATGCAGGGAAGAAGGGCGTTGCTGAGGGCAGCGCCATAGCCAGCCTTCATAGCAGGCTGATCTTGGACTACAGTGAGGCGCAGGGGTGGTCTTCGGGTGAAACAGAGGACAGACGTGGGTGTAGTCAGGGGATAGGTGAAGGATGATGATGATGATGATGATGTGAGATCACATACCTTGTATTGGTGATGGTCTGCATGAGCGACATCTTCAAGTACTTCGGGCTGTCGCTGATGTCAACAGTTGCATTGTCATTTCGTAGTCTGTAGTAGCTGTGTATGAGTAGGCTGGGCGCTGAGCGCCAAGTGTGAGTGTGAAGGAACTGGACTCTTGTGTTGAGAGGAGAGAGTATGCTCTCCATGAACATTGGTTTTTAGTGCTACAAACCTCCATTGGTGTATTATTGGTGCAATGCCGCTCTTTGGACACGGTGTGACTATTTGGCTTTCAATGTGATGGTGTGGTCTGGAATTGTCATCTCACTATTGCTTATTTTCCTTGCAATTTGGTATCGGAGCTGGTTCATATTGCGCTTCATTGGTTCTTCGCAATAGCTATTGGTGCTTCGCATGAGGTGTGGGGCAGTGATAAGGCATTGGCGTTGAACATTGGGCGGCCCAGGGTAAAGTGGGCGCGCCAGGGAGCTATGTGGTGACATACAGGATGTATGCTAGATGATGAGAGCTCGCTGATGTGGCATATTAAGCCGAGGTGGAACCGCATTCTGCTGTTGGTTGTGCTGAGGCAAAGACCGGTCATCATAATTGCACATCAGGTTGCCGGTGAGAAATCTGTGGTTGGGGGCAGCATTTATGAGGTACGTTGCTCTCTTCCTTATCTACCCTCTTCGTTACTTCTTACCGTGAGGAAGTGAGTTCTATCTTGAGAGTCCTCTCGATGTGAGGTGTCGCGAGCGCTCAACCTTGAGAGTCGACATTCTTCCTGGGCAGCAAGCTGGTGGGAGACGGGCGAAGTCTCTGAAGGGCCCTGGACGAAGCACTCGGGTCACGGTCACCGTGCCAACCCGCTGGGACTAGTACACGCATGCCTTGGTTCTGCTGCTTGCGCAATAGAGGTCTTTTAGGGCATGCCAACCCTTTGGGACAGACGCTTTCCATACCGTCTTTAAACATTTCTGGCTGGGGACTCGGATTTGAATCTGGCTGTGATCGTCGTCCTGTCTGCGACGTTAAGATGGGGGCTCTCCTTAAATCCCTCCTGATCAGCCAGATCAACCGGGTGTAAGGCTCGTTGCATGCGAGGGTAAATAAAGTGCAGGGGCTAGCATGTTCAGCGTTGACTTGGGGCACAGGGGTGGGCCGGATTGCACACCTTCAGACACGCTGCTCAACCAGATGCTCAGGACGTTGACACAAAGTGACCACTCAAGAAGGATACAGGGGGAGGGGGGATTCCGGTAACTGTTCGCGGTGGCAATCAACAGACAATCGGCCATCAAGCATACATCTCCAGCAGGAGATGTTATTTCTATCTTTGAGTAGTTAGTTGTTACAGACTTTGCTGACAACTGACAGACAGCTACATACAGACTAGACTTTGCTGTAAGGCGATCTGTATTAGACTAATCTAAAAATAGATGTGATATATCATGTAGGACCTAACATTAGTTGTGACTATATCACCTAATTGTTTCTGTTCCAGCCGACCGATAATAGTTGTATATCACAGGCGGTTGTGTGTCACGCTAAGGTAGGATTCAATGTGAGTTCTAGTTTAGATCACACACACYGTAGCTCATGAGTGAAGACAKCAGTGAGGMGGAGCAAAGGCTAGTGCAACCCATTAGGACCACACGGAGAACCGCTCTTAGTCAACCTTTGACTTTCTTGGAGTTAGGTCCAGGAGAGGAGAGGAGGCTACGAAGGGAAGTTAGGGAGAGGGCAGCGGCGAGGAGGAATAAGGACGCAACAGCCAACTTAGCGCCTGCGATGGCTACCGTCTCTTCGACAACGCAATCCACCTCCCAGTCTTCTCCGTCAGGAGCTGGACAGGGTGGATCGGGTGCAGTTAGTCAATCTATTGGCTTGCAAGTCAGCCAATAGGTTCTACTCACATCTGAGGACAAAGAAATCCAATCAGCGGAAGAACTTCAGGATGAGTTACGGCAACAATTGGACGAAGCATGAGAGAGGAGAAGAAAAGCAATCATGAGGAAGGCCGGATTAGAGAGTAGGGTAGAGGCACTGAGCAGACTAGAGGACCTAGAGGAGGCGACATTAGAGCCTGCTGGACGCGTGCTGCGTAATGCTGTCCTATCTATAGCAGAAGTGCAGACAGCTCAACAGGAACTGTTGACTGATCTAGTGGCAGGCCAAAAACGAATTTTGGATGCACTACAGGCTCCTCGTCCAGTGATGAGGCAGCCACAGTTTGTTGTACTTCCCCCTGCAGGCGCGGGTCCTTCAACGATGCCGCGACCCATGGGACAACCCTTCTCTCCTATGTTTGGCATGCCCCCTCCTGGTGGTGTAGGAGTAGCTAGTGGTCCGGTTCAAAGAGTCTCAGCCGTACCATCTACAACAGTGGTCACTACAGTCCCACTGTCAAGCCAGACCCAGGTTAGTCTGCAACAACCTGTCTCAATAGCTATGCAGCCGCTGCAGCAAGCACCTGGGCCCATGCAGCCTATGCAGTGGATGCCCAAGATACCTTTGATGAGTCCCGAGCCCTTCTCTGGTGACAGGAAGAAGGAAGAGGACTTAGACACCTGGGTGAGGAATGTGCCTACTTATGTGAGGCACAAGCTCACAAGGCCAGAGCAAGAAGTTGTTGTGGCTGCCTCCTTTCTAGAGGGGCCGGCAGCTCGCTGGTTGAATGGCCTAGTGCATCAACAGGGCTACGGTCAGGATTTCGATGCCTGGGCTCAGGCCCAGACATTCGAACAGCTCGTACTGTCCGTCTACAACAGGTGGCATAACCCGCAAGAGGCTCAAAAGGTCACCGATGCTATCAACAACCTTTGTTCCCGCAGGTTCAAGGATGTTAGAGAGCTTACGGACACCGTAGAACGCCTTCTCGTGGTACTTGGTGTGCGTTTTGACCAGCAGGTTCTCTTGACGGATTACCTAAGGTGCCTACCTGCAAAGGTAAGGACCAAGCTGGTTGATGAAGCCTATGTCGAACAGCACACCTTCGCTACTTTTAGTAAGAAAGCTCTGGACATAGAGGCAAAGCTGGGATCTGCGCATAAGGCATCTCATGATGGTAGGAAGAGACTGCCCCAAGACTGGAAGAAGAAGGGGTAGACACTGTTCGTTGACCACGATTGTCAAACAACTGAGATTGACGATTTCCCAGACCTTGGGGAGTTGACAGAGCAGGATGGGGCTAGTGAGACTTCAGATGGTGGAGTCGTGGCGCCCATCAAAGAAAAGGCTACGGGGACCGGGAAGAAGAAGGTAGTATGATCTACGGGTCAGGGCGACCAAGGGACACCCGCATGGGTGAAGATTGGTTTAGATTACGAGGTGTGGAGGGACCGAGTTGCCAGGGGCACATGCATGAATTATGGCAACTATGGCCACACGTCCAGGACTTGCCGCGGCAAAAAGGTCACAACGAAGGTAGCGTCACCGACAGTGGTGGGTTTATCTTCGAATCCTGGGAGTGCTTCTGCGAGCAGCTCACAGGGAAATACCTCGGGCCAGTAGGAGTGTTAGCCGCTCTTACTCGTGCTGAAGTGGTAACGTTGCCTTCCCCACTTCAGGCGTTGGCCAAGGCTAGAGACCCACACATCGCCCCGCAGACACATTCAGACCCACCGACGCTCTGTTCGAGAGATGTGTCTGAGGCCCTAGAAGATATAGAGATTGAGTGGTCAGGGAAGGACCCGAGGGACTCTTGGGCGATGATCAGTAGAGGTCCAAAGGGTGAACATTTTGTGGTAGAAGTAGATATAGGTGGCCGCAAGGTTGGCGCCTTCGCAAGCATAGGCTCTACACGAAATTTCATCAGTCGTGCTTGTGTGGATAGACTGCGCTTAGGGGACCAAGTGCAGCGGCTTAGCAGAACTGTAGCTTCTACACTAGCCAACAAGCACCAAATGGTTGTCAAAGACTATGTCAAGGACGTAGCCTGCACCTTCTCTTATGGAGGAGGGGAAGTGATCCACAAGATCTCCTTCCTGGTGAGCGACGAACTGCCATTTGCTATGCTACTAGGCATGTACTACCTCGAAGTCTCGCAACCTCAGTTTGACTGGGATAGAAAGGTGTTGATCCACAAATTACCCAATAGTAGAACGGTTAGATTGCAGAAGTATAAAGCTAGCAGTCTAATAGAAAACTACGGGTGTATGTGTGCTTCATCCTTCTATAACTACTATAAGCAGAATCGAGAGGAGGGCATGTATCTAGTCTTTGTCTCTGAAAAAGGGGAGGCCGTTAAAACACCCCCAGAGATAGAAAGAGTCGTCGCACAATACTCAAACCTTTTTTAGGAGCCTACAGGTGTGGTGGAAAGGGAGGTTGTTCATGCGATAGAGATTGTCCCAGGTAGCAAGGTGCCTAAAGGACGAATCTATATGATGTCTCCCGCGGAGTTAGATGAGCGTCGCCGCCAGCTCAAGGAGCTCACAGAGAAGGGATGGATATGGCCTAGTACCTCCCCTTACGGTGCGCCAATCTTATTTGTCCCAAAGAAGGGAGGTCCATTAGGGATGTGCATTGACTATAGGGGCCTCAATGCCATCACCATTAAGAACGCGGAGCCCGTACCCCGCATTGACGACCTCTTGGATAGAGTGCAGGGATGCCGGTACTTCACAAAGATAGATTTGAAGTCCGGATACCATCAAATTGCCGTTAGACCTGAGGACCAACACAAAACCGCATTTTAGACCAAGTATCGTCTGTACGAGTTTGTGGTGATGCCTTTTGGCCTATGCAATGCGCCGAGTATGTTCCAGCACACGATGAACAGGATTTTTCATGACTACTTGAACAAGTTTATCGTCGTGCACCTCGACGATATTCTCATCTTTAGTAGGACTGTAGAGGAGCACGCTGAGCACTTGAAAACAGTGCTAGGTCTCCTAAGACAGCACCAGTACAAGGTGAACTTGGATAAATGCGAGTTTGGTCGCACCACGATCCTGTACTTGGGTCATGAAATTTCAGCAGATGGATTGAGGCCGGAAGATGCGAAGGTGGCCAGCACACGTGACTGGCCCAGACCTCAGACTGTTACTGAGGTCAGATTGTTTTTGGGGATGACGGGCTATTATCGTCCGTTTGTAAAGAACTATAGTACTATAGCTTCCCCATTAACAGATCTAACTCGACTTGACACCCCTTGGGAGTGGACTGAAGACTGTGAAGCAAGCTTCAAGAAATTGAAGTGTGCTCTGACACACTACGAAGTTCTCAAACTTCCGGATCCTGACAAGCCATTCATTGTGACCACAAACGCTAGCCAATATGGCATAGGCGCGGTCCTTGCGCAACAAGAAGGGCCCAAGTTGAGACCGATCGAGTATATGAGCAAGAAGATGCCATCTCAAAAGTTAGCTAAGTCCGCTTATGAGAGAGAGCTCTACGCCCTGTACAAAGCGCTAGTTCATTGGAGACATTACCTCCTAGGAAGGTTCTTCTATGTGAGGTCTGACCATGAGACTTTGCGCTGGATTAAGACACAGCCCGTGTTGTCAGATGCACTCAAGAGATGGATTCAAGTGATAGACATGTATGACTATCAACTTGATCCTATCAAGGGTACTTACAACAAAGTGGTTGATGCACTATCAAGAAGGGCAGATTATTTGGGCGCGCTAGTTACCGAGTTCGACATATCTGACGACCTCACTCGATCGCTGGTGGAAGCCTATCAGGGAGATCCAGTTATGTCAGAGATCATCCATAGATTCCAAGCAAAGGACAAAAGGACTTTGGACGAATTCACGATGGTAGATGGCTTGCTGTTTCTCGAGAAGGCAGGAAATAAAAGATTATGTGTTGCTAATAGTGAGTCTTTACGTAGTTTATTTTTAGGAGAATGTCATGATGCAACTGGTCATTTTGGCTATAGAAAGACATCAGCGAACTTAATGCATAGATTTTGGTGGCCTTCTATGTTGGAAGATGCAAAACGTTATGTKGAAACCTRCCAGGTTTGTCAAARGGACAAACCAAGGACTCAGGCTCCGCTTGGGTTGATCAAACCCTTGCCGATCCCTGAAGGACCAGGCCAGAGTGTGTCCATGGATTTCATGGATACCCTTGTGACCAGCAGGTCAGGAAAGAGACACATCTTTGTCATAGTGGACCGTTTTACCAAGTACGCCAGACTGATCGCCATGCCGGAAACAACCAAAACTGACTACGTCATCAAACTGTTTATGGATAATTGGGTACGTGATTTTGGGTTGCCTACGTCCATCGTTAGTGATAGGGATGTGAGATTCACGAGTGAACTGCGGCAGTCAACCGCTGAACAGATGGGCACCAAACTCCAAATGACCTCAGGGAATCACCCTGAGTCAAATAACCAGGCAGAACAGATGAACCGGGTAGTACAGCACCTGCTTCGGCAATACATTAAGCCAAGTCAGGATGACTGCGACGAGAAGTTACCGCTCGTCGCCAGCTTGTACAACAATGCTGTGCACAGTACTACCGGTATGACTCCCAACCAGTTACACCTTGGTTGGAAGCCCAGAACTGCACTTGACTTTCTGCTACCAGAAAGACAATCCACGGCAGCACCTGGCAGCATAGATTTTGCTGTCCAATATGAACAGATGCTGCAGCAGGCTGTTGAACATATTAAGAAGTCTCAGGATGCTATGATCGCATCTGAGAATAAGCATAGACGGCCCTCCAACTTTCAGGTAGGTGATAGAGTCTGGGTAAAGTCATATGAACTAGGTCAGGAGATGGGGATATCTAGAAAAGTGATGCCGCAGTATTTTGGGCCCTGGGAGATCTTGGACATTGTAGGGGATCAACCGGATGGGCCTTCATACGTGATCCGTATTCCTGCACACCTATGCACCTGCCCAGTGTTTCATGCCTCCAAGCTGGCACCTTTTGCTGCCACTGATCAGTTTCCTTCCAGAAGATCAATGCTGCCCCCAACCATGGATGGTGAAGTGGACATTGACCAGATCATCGAGCATCGAGTGATGCCTGTTCCTCGACCATCAGGCAGAGGGCGACCTCCTAAACCGAGAATGCAGTATCGTGTGAGCTTCAGACATCATCTGGATCCTAAAGAAGACCGGTGGTTCACACGAGAAGAACTCGTGAGAACAGCACCTCAAGTGATTGCAGGCTATGAAAGAGCACTCAAGGGGAAAATGCCTGCAGAATAAGAGACTTCTCAGAGGACTCACGAAGTAAAGGAGGAGGGAATGCGAGGATCAGGGTCCTCGGTAGGCTTATGGGGCCCTGCTTGCACCATTACCCGCCCTAAGTGAAGGCGGAGGTGCCCGCCCTAAGTGAAGGCGGGCCTGGCTTTTTGCAAGAGGCCCTCGACTGTCAATTTCATATTTGGGGTCCAGGCAGTTGYGACRCGCSAGTTGGTTRARAGAAACACAGGCCGAGCAACAAAGAMATTTCCACGGCCYWCCGGGCCTTTCCAAAGAATGCAGGCCCTGGGCGTGATTCGCAGCCTCATACAGAGACAGTTGGACGCCCAACCGAACGAGGCCCAGCAGCCCAGTATTTGCTGTCCACAGGCAGCCTCCTTGGGCCTTCCGGAAGCTGCTGGGCCCAGGCCAGTGCAGCCAGGCTGCGCAAGCAGGCCAACTCTTTCCATAAAGGAAAGAGCTCTGCCCTGGCTGCGGCATTCAAACACTCGCATGCTGGCGGCAGCGCTGCTGGAGCAAAGGCTCGCGGCTGCTGGCAGGCGCTGAGAGGCGAGGTGCAGCACGTGCGGTCGTGTAGGGAAGAAGGGCACTGCCGAGGGCAGCGCCATAGCCAGCCTTCATAGCAGGCTGGGCTTGGACTACAGTGAGGCGCACTGGTGGTCTTCGGGTGAAACAAAGGACATACGTGGGTGTAGTCAGGGGATAGGTGAAGGATGATGATGATGATAATGATGATGTGAGGGCACATACCTTGTATTGGTGAGGAGGTGCAGCACGTGCGGTCGTGTAGGGAATAGCCAACCTTCATAGCAGGCTGGGCTTGGACTATAGTGAGGCGCAGGGGTGGTCTTCGGGTGAAACAGAGGACAGACGTGGGTGTAGTAAGGGGATAGGTGAAGGATGATGATGATGATGATGATGATGATGATGATGATGATGATGATGTGAGGGCACATACCTTGTATTGGTGATGGTCTGCATGGGCGACATCTTCAAGTACTTCGGGCTGCCGCTGATGTCAACAGTTGCATTGTCATTTCGTAGTCTGTAGTAGCTGTGTATGAGTAGGTTGGACGCTGAGCGCCTAGTGTGAGTGTGAAGGAACTGGACTCTTGTGTTGAGAGGAGAGAGTATGCTCTCCATGAACATTGGTTTTCAGTGCTACGAACCTCCATTGGTGTATTATTGGTGCAATGTTGCTCTCTGGACACGGTGTGACTATTTGCCTTTCAATGTGATGGTGTGGTCTGGAATTGTCATCTCGCTATTGCTTATTTTCCTTGCACATTGTTCATCCATCCAGGATACTAGCGCTGAATAACGTTGCAGTGTTTCCTCATAAGCTGAATTGAAGAAAGAGGCAGCCCCTAACTTTAAGGAGTTTGAAGCTAATGGTTGGATCGAACCCGCTATCGGACCATGGTCGTTTCTAGTAGTGATTGTGCCGAAAAAAACAGGAGGAATTCGCATCAGCATCGATTACCGAAAGCTAAACGATATCACGATCAAGGATGTGTAGCTGCCTTTTGTCCTGAGTGGGGTGCCTCCCACATGGCTTGTTGCCATGCCTTCCAGGCCTGCCGCGGATGACAAAGATTTGGATTGCCATGGGCCTTCCCTGAGATTGAGCTGCGACCCGACCCCGGGACTAGACACGTGGTGACTTCCTACTGACTGACTGCTAGGGACATCTACCTTTCCTAGGCCTTATGCAAGGAAAATAAGCAACAGCGAGATGACAATTCCAGATCACACCATCACATTGAAAGCCAAGTAGTCACACCGTGTCCAGAGAGCAGCATTGCACCAATAATACACCAATGGAGGTTCGTAGCACTGAAAACCAATGTTCATGGAGAGCATACTCTCTCCTCTCAACACAAGAGTCCAGTTCCTTCACACTCACACTTGGTGCTCAGCGCCCAGCCTACTCCAACATAGCTACTACAGACTACGAAATGACAATGCAACTGTTGACATCAGCGGCAACCCGAAGTACTTGAAGATGTCGCCCCATGCAGACCATCGCCAATACAAGGTAAGTGCCCTCACATCATCATCATCATCATCCTCATCCTCATCCTTCACCTATCCCCTGACTACACCTACGTCTGTCCTCTGTTTCACCCGAAGACCACCCCTGCGCCTCACTGTAGTCCAAGCCCACCAGCTATGGTGTCTGGGCTATGGTGCTGCCCTCAGCAGCGCCCTTCTTCCCTCCACGACCGCACGTGCTGCACCTCGCCTCTCAGCGCCAGCCAGCAGCCGCGAGCCTTTGCTCCAGCAGCGCCGCCACTAGCATGCAAGTGCCTGAATGAGGCTGCTTGGAGTGAGCTCTTTCCTTTATGGAAAGAGCTGGCCTACTCGCGCAGCCTGGCTGCGCCTGGGCCCGGAAGCTTCCGGAAGGCCCCAGGAGGCTGCCTGTGTACAGCAGCTACTGGGCTGTTGGGCCTCGTTCAGTTGGGCGCCCAACTGTCTCTGTATGAGGCTGCGAATCACGCCCAGGGCCTGCATTCTTTGGAAAGGCTCGGAGGGCCGTGGAAATGTCTTTGTTGCTCGACCTGTGTTTCTCTCAACCAACTGGCGCGTTGCAACTGCCTGGACCCCAAATATGAAATTGACATTCGATGGCCTCTTGCAAAAAGCCAGGCCCGCCTTCACTTAGGGCGGGCACCTCGCCTTCACTTAGGGCGGGTAATGCTGCAAACAGGGCCCCATAGGCCTGCCGAGGACCCAGATCCTCGCATTCCCTCTTCCTGTACTTCGTAGGTCCTCTGAGAAGTCTCTTATTCTGCAGGCATTTTCCCTTTGAGTGATCTTTCATAGCCTGCAATCACTTGAGGTGCTGTTCTCATGAGTTCTTCTCGTGTGAACCACCGGTCTTCTTTAGGATCCAGATGATGTCTGAAGCTCACAGGGTATTGCATTCTCAGTTTAGGAGGTCGCCCTCTGCCTGATGGTCGAGGAATAGGCATCACTCGATGCTCGACGATCTGGTCAACGTCCACTTCGCCATTCATGGTTGGGGGCAGCATTGATCTTCTGGAAGGGAATTGCTCAGTAGCAGTAAAGGGTGCTAACTTAGAGGCATGGAACACAGGGTAGGTACGCAAGTGAGGTGGGATGTGAATTAAATATGAAGGACCGTCTGGTTGATCTCCTATAATGTCTAAGATCTCCCAAGGCCCAAAGTACTGTGGCATTAACTTGCGGGATATGCCTAACTCCTGACCAAGTTCAGCAGACTTGATCCAGATTCTCTCACCTACCTGAAAGTTAGAAGGCCGTCTATGTCTATTCTCAGATGCAATCATTGCTTCTTGAGATTTCCTAATACGTTCAACGGCCTGCTGCAGCATCTGTTCATACTTAACAGCAAACTCTATGCTGCCAGGTGCTGCAGTGGGTTCCCTTTCCGGTAGCAGGAAATCAAGAGCAGTCTGGGGCTTCCAACCAAGATGCAGTTGGTTGGGAGTCATGCCGGTAGTACTATGCACAACGTTATTGTACAGGCTGGCGACGAGAGGTAGTTTCTCGTCCCCGTCATCCTGACTTGGCTTGATATAATGCCTAAGTAGGTGCTGTACTACTCGGTTCATTTGCTTGGCTTGACCATTTGACTCAGGATGATTTCCTGAAGTCATTTGGAGTTTTGTGCCTGGTTGCTCAGCAGTACACTGCCACAGTTCGCTCGTGAATCTGACATCCCTGTCACTTACAATAGATGTAGGTAGACCGAAGTCTCTTACCCAGTTGTCCATGAAAAGTTTGATGACGAAGTCAGTTTTAGCAGTTTCAAGCATAGCGATCAGTCTGGCGTACTTGGTAAATGAAAGGAATGAAATAAAGAGTAGCTTCTAAAACGATCCACTATGACAAAGACGTGTCTCTTTCCTGACCTGCTGGTCACAAGGGTATCCATGAAATCCATGGACACACTCTGGCCTGGTCCTTCAGGGATCGGCAAGGGTTTGATCAACCCAAGCGGAGCCTGAGTCCTTGGTTTGTCCCTTTGACAAACCTGGTAGGTTTCCACATAACGTTTTGCATCTTCCAACATAGAAGGCCACCAAAATCTATGCATTAAGTTCGCTGATGTCTTTCTATAGCCAAAATGACCAGTTGCATCATGACATTCTCCTAAAAATAAACTACGCAAAGACTCACTATTAGCAACACAGTCTTTTATTCCCTGCCTTCTCGAGAAACAGCAAGCCATCTACCATCGTAAATTCGTCCAAAGTCTTTTTGTCCTTTGCTTGGAATCTATGGATGATCTCTGACATAACTGGATCTCCCTGATAGGCTTCCACCAGCGATAGAGTGAGGTCGTCAGATATGCTGAACTCAGTGACTAGCGTGCCCAAATAATCTGCCCTTCTTGATAGCGCATCAGCCACTTTGTTGTACGTACCCTTGATAGGATCAAGTTGATAGTCATACATGTCTATCACTTGAATCCATCTCTTGAGTGCGTCTGACAACACAGGCTGTGTCTTAATCCAGCGCAAAGTCTCATGGTTAGACCTCACATAGAAGAATCTTCCTAGGAGGTAATGTCTCCAATGAACTAGCGCTCTGTACAGGGCGTAGAGCTCTCTCTCATAAGTGGACTTAGCTAACTTTTGAGAAGGCATCTTTTTACTCATGTACTCGACCGGTCTCAACTTTGGCCCCTCTTGTTGCGCAAGGACCGCGCCTATGCCATATTGGCTAACGTCTGTGGTCACAACAAACAGCTTGTCAGGATTAGGGAGTTTGAGAACTTCATAGTGTGTTAAAGCATACTTCAATTTCTTGAAGCTTGCCTCACACTCTTCAGTCCACTCCCAAGGGTTGTCAAGTCGAGTTAGATCCGTTAATGGGGAGGCTATCGTACTATAGTTTTTGACGAAAGGACGATAATAGCCTGTCATCCCCAAAAACGATATGACCTCAGTAACGGTTTGAGGTCTAGGCCAGTCACGTATGCTGGCCACCTTTGCATCTTCTGGCCTCAACCCATCTGCTGAAATTTCATGACCCAGACACAAAATCTTGGTGCAGCGTGCTCCTCTGCAGTCTTACAAAGAGAAGGATATCGTCGAGGTACACGACGATAAACTTGTCTAAGTAATCATGAAAGATCCGGTTCATTGTGTGCTGGAACGTCCCAGGTGCATTGCATAGGCCAAAGGGCATCACCACAAACTTGTACAGACCGTACCTGGTCTGAAAAGCGGTTTTGTGCTGGTCCTCAGGTCTAATGGCAATTTGATGGTATCCGGACGTTAAATGTATCTAAGTCAAGTACCGGCATCTCTGCACTCTATCCAATAGGTCGTCGATGCGGGGTAGGGGCTCTGCGTTCTTCACAGTGATGGCATTGAGACCCCTATAGTCAATGCACATCCTCAGGGTACCTCCCTTCTTAGGTACGAATAGCACTGGAGCGCCATAAGGGGAGGTACTAGGCCGTATCCATCCCTTCTCTGTGAGCTCCTTGAGCTGGCGGCAAAGCTAATCTAACTCCACGGGAGACATCCTATAGATTCGTCCTCTAGGCACCTTGCTACCTGGGACAACCTCTATCGCATGTACAACCTCCCTTTCCACCACGCCTGTGGGCTCCTCAAAAAGGTCTGAATATTGTGCGACGACTCTTTCTATCTCTGGGGGTGATTTAACGGCCTCCCCTTTCTCAGAGACAAAGACTAGATACATGCCCTCCTCTCGATTCTGCTTATAGTAATTATAGAAGGATGAAGTGCACATACACCCGTAGTTTTCTATTAGACTGCTAGCTTTATACTTCTGCAATCTAACAGTTCTACCATTGGGCAATTTGTGGATCAACACCTTTCTATCCCAGTCAAACTGAGGTTGCGAGACTTTGAGGTAGTACATGCCTAGTAGCATATCGAATGGCAGTTCGCTGCTCACTAGGAAGGAGATCTTGTGGATCACTTCCCCTCCTCCATAGGAGAAGGTGCAGGCTACCTCCTTGACATAGTCTTTGACAACCATTTGGTGCTTGTTGGCTAGAATAGAAGCTACAGTTCTGCTAAGCTGCTGCACTTGGTCCCCTAAGCGCAGTCTATCCACACAAGCACGACTGATGAAATTTCGTGTAGAGCCTATGTCTGCGAAGGCGCCAACCTTGCGGCCACCTACATCTACTTCTACCACGAAATGTTCACCCTTGTTGGCTAGAGTAGAAGCTACAGTTCTGCTAAGCCGCTGCACTTGGTCCCCTAAGCACAGTCTATCCACACAAGCACGACTGATGAAATTTCGTGTAGAGCCTATGTCTG